CTAGATTCTCTAAAAGGGGATGTTAGAAGGGTGGAATGACAAGTGTAAACCATCTTGGTTCCAAAGTTTGGTGTGAGAGAAGATAGCTAGATTGTAATGTAGAAAAAGTTCAATAAGAATACATTTATGTATTAGACAACTTACGAGATGCAAGTAGAAATCTCATAAACAATATTCATAAGATTTATGGTTGAGAGAGTAAGAAGATAATTTTTGAAGTGACAAGTAATAGTGAAAAGATGAGTTTTGGAACAAGTGAAGCCTCACCCTTTTCATAGATGAAATATTATAAACACAATATAAAAACTTTATAAGATATGTAATAATATAACACGTGTCATTCATTCCTTTAAAGGACTATTGTGATAAAACTAAAATAACATTGTAAAATTGAATGTTTTAAAAAATTCATCTGCACAAAGTAAACAATGAAATATAATAGAAAATGATAGTGAAACAATGAGGCTGATCCCTCTTTTAGTAGACTCATCTATATTTTTTAAATAAATGATTGACTTCATCATTCATTCATCTATTAACAAGAACTCAAGGTAAAATATCAGTCATTTTGCACACACCAACTTCATAGATAATTGAATTAAATCTATTTTTATGAAAGGGTTTTGTGAAAATGTCAATGAACTATTTTGATGTTTTAATGAATTGTGGTTCAATATCCCTTTTTTTATATGATCCATGATAAAATTGTGTATGATCTTGATATACTTTGTTCTAGAGTAGATAATCAAATTTTTGGCTAGATTAGTGCACTAATATTTTCACAATACACTGGTAATTTTAATTTCAACCCATAATCTGTCAATTGATACCTTATCCAAAGTATATGTGTGCAATAGCTTCTTGTAGACACATAATCGAACTCTCTAGTGGATAAAATAATGAAGTTCTATTCCTTAGAATTCCAAAAGATTAAACTATGCCTAAGAACAAACATGAGCCACTTGTGCTCTTGCGATCAATCCTACAACTTGAAAAATCTGAATCACGGTATCTTAAAAGATTTAAATTTATGTTTTTGAGATACTATTCACTTAATACCTATGTTAATTGAGAGTTAAAGATTTTCTGAAGGGTAGTAAGGTGACATTCTTTCAAATTTGATTAATATCTAGCACACATGTAAATACTGAATAAAATGTTAGGCTGGCTAGCTGTTACATACAATAAAAATCTGATCATCCTTATGTAAATTTTTGATTTACTTCTTTTCCATATTCATTAGATTCTAATTTCGTGTTTGTACCTATTAGTGTTTTTTTGGACTTTAGATCTTTCATTTTGAATATTAAGTAGTTCTCTAGTATATTTTTCTTGAGATATTAAAATTTCATTCTGCAACTATTTGATTAACAATCTAAGAAATAAATTCAGTTAAGTCATCATACTAATTTTGAATTCGTTTTTCATCAATGTTGAAAATTCATTACATAATGATTCATCACTTAAACCAAAGATAATATTATTAATGTATATTTGAACAATCAAAATATATTTTTATCTACTTCTAATGAACATTGAAGTTTCTACACTTCTTCTTTGATTAGTATGTTTAGAAAAACACTTTTAACATCTAATTCATTTTAAAATTATTGGCACATGCAACTAATAAAATGATTCTACTTGCATCAAGTCTAGTAAGAGAGACATAAGTTTTTTCATAATCTATTCCTTTTTTCTGAACATATCCCTAAACAAGAAATCTGATTATATTTTAATGTTCAAGTTTTGAAACTAAATGCTATACATCATTCCTCTCAAATTATTCAAATTCATCTTATATAGCACTTATTCCATCACAATCTATGAGACCAACATTAATATTTTATGATTCAATTTGAGAGGTGAATTTCATGTAAGTTTGCTCCTTTAATTTATGATCTAGTTCTAACTCTATCAATTAAATCTTCAATGGCACTGTCCGTTAGATGTCTCTTAGTATATCTCTATGTTCTAGATTAATGTTCATGATCAGTGTTCGATTTTAAGTAAAGTAATTCTTCTTGTCCTTCTTTAGTTTCTTTATTATGTATGAAATTTATGTTGACACAATCACTTTAATATATTCTAAGAGTTTAATATGAATCCATTCTTTAACCACCAGAGTTTAAAATGTTCTCTCATCACTTTACTAATCAGCTTTTTCTAACTCTTCTTTACCATTGTTGGGAATAAAACATTTACATCTGAATGGTTTGAAATAGATAATGTTCTTCAACTTTGATCCAATCTAAACTCTATTTATAACATAACATACCATGTTAATACTCTCAACCCATAAGTGTTTAGATATATCACTATTTTGCCAACAAGCTTTTAGATAGATCAATTAAGGTCATATTTTTCTTCTCAATGACTCCATTTAGTTAAGGAGTTTTAGGTACTGAAAATTTGTGTGTAGTTCCTAATTCATCAAAGAATTTTTAAAATAAAGTAATTTAAAATTCACCTTTGTGATCACTTTTTCTTCTTAAATGTATATGTAGATCATTTTGTATTTTCTTTGTAAACTTTACAACCTAATTAAAACCTTCATTTTTTCTAAGATAAAAATAACACTAGAGCAGGTTCCCCATTAGACATATTGTAGAGTGACTAGTGAACACTAGATGAAATATGGCAAACATTTCATATATAAGATAAAATTCAAAATTCAAAGAGAGAATGATGAGCCAATGAGCTACCAAGCGATAAAAGATCAATTTAGAAGCTCTAGAACACCTATTGCCAATATGATTTCCACACATTTGAGAGAAAAAATAGGTTATAGTATCAATAATTAAAAAGTCTTATTGAGCTCATCTTTAAACTCCTTGGTTTATAGTCATGGAAGCCTATCACCATTGAGAACTGGTGTGAAGCAAAAAGCATGAGCTAAACCCAGGTCACTGGGACTTAGATGCCTAAAGTGAAGAGGCCAGTGGACTAGATCAAGCAGCATAAATGCACTAATGTTGTGTGCATTCAAGGCAACCATTCTATGAGCCTCTTTTTGCAGACCAAAGCATTATTAGTGAAGGCTGGCCCTGAGTTGCACAATATTCATGGTTAGAGATGTTTGCTATGAGCTCCAATGTCATGTTCTTTATAACACCATTGTTTTTTTCATTCAAAGATGTTTGGGGCTCTACATATTCAATGTTGAAATTATTCAGGATTTTGTTCATGTTGACATGGAAAGTCAACCATCACGACTACACAAATATTTTGTGACATCATGAAGTACATGAATAGTTACATATATGGTTATATCACTTGAAACCAGCTATCTATCTTTTTTTACTTTCTACAAAAAAATTAGGTCGGATATATATATATAATTGTGGGTGTTTTTAATATTTAGGGTAGGGGAGTCTACACAACTGTTACTAAGAGGTAAAGGAAATAAGAAAATCAATTGCCACTAAGTAATGCATTATAAAACATAAACTGATCTTTGTTGTTTCTGAGCAACTTATTGGAATGGCTGCAAACAACCAACCCAAAATGATGCGAGATAAAGAGCGAGAATAGATCTCCTTTAAAAAGAGCTACACATTAATCTTTAAAGGTGATTAAAATTAGAATTTTAATGGCTTCATATTTAGATAAATTTATAATTTTAAGAGAATTAAGATCATTAATTACCTATTAGATTATCTAATTCAAAGAATCAAACAAGGCTTCTCAACTAGGGTTAGGACCATCAATCTTTCACACACAGGTGGCTATTCTATGAATCTCACAAATCCTAAGAGCAAAGATTTAAAACTAATGACCAACTTCACAAATAATTTAAAAATCAATACACCTTTGCAATAAAGATTTTTGATATCTTGAAGATTATTGTTGGTTCAAGTGGTTTGAGATCCACAAGCCTTATTGAGGAATTTTCAATGGGTGATGATTCAAGAAAATGAGTGATTTGGGTTGGGTAGTTAAGGTCTACGAAGTATTTGGATAATTTAAAAATATAAGAGAGAAAAATGTGTAAATGAGGAATAGTAAAAATAAGAGAATAAAATAATGATGGGAATAAATAATAGTCAAAGAGGCGATGAAAGGAGTGGAGGAACCCCCAGTCCAAGGGGCTAATGAAATTCCTTGGATGATGATGAAATTCAAAATTTTATTTTCTTGCTGCCCTTAATTCCTATCAAGAGATTATGGAATAGTTGTGCAGTATAAAACTTGAGAACAAAAATAGATGTTTCCTTGGATGAGAGGCCATCAGGGTATTGGAAATATCGCAAACCCCACAATTGACAATAACTACATCACCAAGTCTGCATTCAATATGTTTTAATCATCAAAACCTACTCCACCATGGTTGACTAAGGTTAGTTCAACATTTAACACTAAATATTTAAGACATTCGACTCTTGCAGGCATGTCAAGGATAAAGATTGGGAGAAGGTTTTAAATCAGGAAATCAATGTTATTGAAAGAGAAATACGGACGAGCTATTGGGTGCGCCAGAGATAAAGATATCAGTTCTGTAAAACAAATTCGAAAAAAGTGAGGGTTCTAACGCGTGGATCGATGTATATAAAAGATGAAGATGAGGATCGTTGAAAAGAGCCGTCACCCTCGCACACACAATCTCCCTCTCAGATCTCATCTTTGTCTCTCTCTCTCTCTCTCTCTCTGCGTCTCTGTCTCGTTCTATATGAAGAAACAGAGACATGCACATGCAATTATGAGTGTGCGTCTCTTTGTGCGTGAGCGCGTGTCTGGGTGCGTATCCTTCCTCGACGTCCGGGCTTCCGGGAAGTGTTGAGAAATTTGTAAGAAGGTAATGAACAAATACAGGCCATCCGCTTTGAAACCCAAGAAACTCGCGGAGGCCCATTCGATTATGATGTTCAAACGCGCACCCTTTAAAGAAGAAAGAGTAAGAATAATCATATGGGAAGACTCCGGCGGGAATCCCCGGATTGTGTCATCGAGCCGTCCAGCCACCTTGGAGAGCGGAGTCTTCAGGCGCTCGTCTACTTAGCTCCTCACAGCCTCGCCACGACTTGATCTGCGGGGCGGTTGAGTCCGGGGATGCATTCCGAGAGTGCGGCCACGAGCCTTCTCACGTCTTCCGAAGAATGCCCGGTCGTCAGGGTGACCCTCAGCCTGGAAGACGCAAAAATCATCGACTAGGGTCAGGGGTACTGGAAGACGGCGGGGGAAGGGGGGGGGGGGGGCAGTGGCAGGAAAAATGAAGAATGATGGGAGAGGAAGGGAGAGGAAATGAGAACTCACCGGCAGGCGTCGGGGGCGACAGCCGGCGGCCTGATGGCGATGATGTGGAAGCCACGCTCCAGCATGTGCTTGCTGGCATAGATAGCGGCGTCCTCGGAGCCGACCACCAGCGAAAGGATGGGGCTGGTTGCGGGGTGCTTCGTCAACGTCGCGAATTCCTGCACTCTGTTCCACAGCGCTTGCCTGCGCCAGACCTCCTTCTTGGCCACCGTCACAGCAGCTGCAGGGGATCAACGCGCGTAGAGAAAAATTGCGTTAAATATATGACGCAGGGCAGTGGTGACAATCACGCGGTTAAGTCTATCTGACGAAGAAGAACGGACGACTAGTGGCGGAAGGAATGGACGCTGCGATCAGTACCGTAGGCGCCCGCGATGACGGGTAAGGGGGAAGCTGTCGTGAAAATGTAGGGACGGCCCGTCACCCGGACCAGGTCCGACCATTTTTGGCTGCAGGCCACGAATCCGCCCAGGCATCCCCCGGCCTTGCTCAGTGTCCCGACGATGACGTCGATCTGATCTTCGATGCCGTAAACCTCTCCGATACCGCCGCCATTCCTCCCGCACACAAACGCCGTATGCGCCTGTAACGCGGCGAGGGTCAGTCCGGATCGGGAGAGGGAGACGGTAAAGAAGACGGCCCCGACGCCCAGAGAACACAAAGCGAATGACTCACTTCGTCGATGACGAATAGGAACCGGTGCTTCTTCCGGAGTTGCACGAGGTCAAGCATCGGCGCGAAGTCCCCTTCCATGCTGAACAAGCTGCGCCATGCAAAGAAAGGAGGAGGCCTCTTAGCACGGAAGCTTCACAGGAGCAGCGAGAAGAAGATGTTGCCGAACGGAGATCGGTCGCCGCTATCAACTCAGTCTGTGTTACCTGTCCGTGATGACCACCTTCCTCTCGAGAGGGCAGTTTGAGAGGAGCTCGTCTAGATGCTGCATGTCGCTATGCCTGTACACGGAAACGACGGTTTGATGATGCCGCTCCATCATCCGGAGGCCGTCGATTATGGATGCGTGGTTCAAGGCATCAGAGAACACGGCGATCTTCTCGTGCGCCGCCGGCCTCCTCGACGCAGCGTTATGAGTGGCGACGCCTCCGAGCGCCGACAGGAAGGCAGTGTTTGCTGCGAATCCGGTGGGGGTTACGACGCACGCCTCCTTCTTGTGCATCTCCGCCAGGACATTCTCCAGCCGCCGGTGGTACTCGGTCTGGCCACTGGCCATAGCTGACGATCGCGGACCCATTCCGAACGCCAGAGCCGCCTGTTCGGTATTTGTGTACAGAATCAGAATCGGTCACCGATTACCGCGACGCGCGACGGACATTATTCTACCTCCAACGGGAGCGAGCTCGAAAGCCTACCTTCGCGGACGCCTTGCGGACGGCCGGATGGGTGCTGAGGTTGAGGTAGTCGTTGGCGGAGAAGAGGAGCATCCGGTTCCGAGCCGGTTCGCCGTCCTTCGCCGGGGCCGTGGGGTCCTCCACTTCCACCTCCAGCAAGGTCCGGTCCCAAGGGCCGGGGCCGTCAAACGTCTCGACGTCGGCCAGAGGATCCTCCTCGGCGCTGGGCTTGGCGAGGCACACCTTGGGCAAGTAGCTCAAAAAGTTGTTGTTGACCCTCGCGAATGCCCTGACCACCCACTCTTCCCACATCGCTTCAACGGACGCCATGCCTGCTCGTCGTGCTGGTTAGCGGTAGGATCGCGTAGTGGCCGCCTTCACGCCCGGGGGATTCTGGCGAGATAGGAAAGAGTAGTGGCTCGATGCAGGCGTTGAGCTCCGGATGGGTACAAACCTTTGCCCGTCGTTGCCTCTTTATGTAGGAGGATGCCCTCGAATGTCGCCGGGCCGTGGACTTTCTCGGCTCCGCGGTCCAGCATCTTCTCTGGTTGAATAGCGGCGACGTATCGCATTCCGGACGCCTATGTTGAATCCCGGCCAGTCCACTTTGGACTTGGACGCCGGTTTCGCTGCCTGAACGCCGTTCGCGAGTGTTGACCGCCGGAACATTGCGGATCCTAACCGTTGGGATGGAGACGGAGATGTAGGACCCCCGGATGGATGCTCGCCGGGCACCACCGGTAAACCTAGCACCATTCGCGACCGGTAAAGCCGGAGAGAGAGAGAGAGAGGGTCAAAGCTTACCACTAGTAAAACAAATACAAAAGGGCAAAAATGAAAAAGATCTGGAAAAGGGAGAAATATTCGGGGATAAACTGGGAGCCGGGTAGATCAATCTATACCGAAGTATTTACATGAACCGGAGGGGTTGGTTTCATTTAAGAGGAATGATGGACAGAAGAAGAGCCCCAGTGAATGAGAACCCGTGCATGCTATCCTGGGTCACTGCGTCCGTAATAAATTAACAAATTGACGGCCGTGTAGTCGGTTCAAAGGCCCGATAAAAAAAGAATCGGCAAAGGGCCCGTCAACTTTTGACGGGGACGTTTCTTTTTCGTACTATGAATGTAGTACTCCACTTTGACCGTCGTCGGCAACTGATAATTTCGGATAGTGACGTGTCTGTTATGTGACTTACTCATTGTATATTAAATCATATAAATTTAAAATTTATAAAACTAGAAAGTATTAATTTTAGAACTTTTAGAATTATATCCACAAAAATAAATAAACGGCTCCAAAGCTAGTAGAAAAATTTCAAATTGATCATAATGGTGTAACATAATGTTAAGAAAAAATTAATAATTTTTATTAAATAATATGTTTTAATATGATTTTTGAACTAAAATATTATAAGAAAATCCTTTTAAAATTTAGATAAAGAAGAAAATTCGTGCGCTTACTTCAGGCATTAGTCACTACCGCTCGAATGCTGATTTTGGAGAAATGGAGTTCTGCTCAATAATTATTGTGTAAGTGATTTCAAAAGTTTAGGTCAATGTGATCTAAATTTGTAAGCACCAAATGAATTGTAATGAACTAAAAAATAGTTTTCAAACTTAAATTTAAGCAGACGATTGTTAATCTAAAGATTAAATGAGTTTCAATAAGGAAAATAAAGTAATGACATCGCAATAGTGATCGTCTAAATTTTCGATGTTCAAAAGGTTTCTTAATAATGTCAATGGTCTCAAAGGTTATCTTTAAATGCGCACAATGTGAGCACTCTCTCGATTTTCATGCAAAGTCCAAGAAGCAAAGATAAGTGGTGGTAAAGTTTCTCTCATGACTGTCACCTATAGAGTTGAGCTTGATGGAGGTGGAGCATGTATTAGGGAGCTTCATCTTTAGGTCCTCAAAGTGAGATGAGGCTCTTGATTACATTCAAAACACTCTATGGAGATTACAACAAATCTCTTAACGGATTCTTTTGCCGTTAACAATGGCTTATTTGTTGACCAACATGTAATGATTTTCCTTTAATAATTCATGATTTTGCTATCTAGAATCTTTATTTAGTTGCTAAAGATAATCATTGATTATAACTAATGAAAATTTTGTCAATGATTGACAAAATCTATCTAGTACTTGTTATGTTAACTATTTCTTTACTGAAATATTACATAGTTAAAATAGAAGAAAACATAAATTTTGACATCGATGAGATTCGAACCTCTACTGATCACTTGGTTACATAAGTAATGGTAAAAAACATTCACTTATACCATTGAAATAGTGAAAATATGAGAGTTTAACCTTCTCTTTATATATGGGCATTTTTGGCATTATCTTAGCCAACAAGAATAGCTGATAATTTAGTCCCACATTAATTGTTTCAAAGAGTTTTGGATGTATATAAGTTTGGGTGCTCTTATACATACAAGTTCCTTTTCCCATAAACAAAATGGCTAGAACCATCTAGGGGAAGGCTAAATCGGGTGGTCCACCCACAAGTACACACGTGTGATGAGATTATACCTTGCCCCCATACACCAATTTGACTCAAGTGATGTGGAAGGTGAGTGACACACTTTATATGGGTTCCTTGAGCCACTTGAGTCCAGCTCACGGTTTCGTTCAATTTGGGTCTACCCCCTTGAGCACAATGCCCTTTGGGTCAATTATTGACTACCAATTGGCGAGCAAGTTGCCCCATTTTTAATATGTATTTATTTATTTTATTTTTCTTTATTTAAATATGAAAACATGAATATAAAAATCACATAATTAAAGATAAATTCATAATAATGTAAAAACTATTTTTCTCAATTTAAAGTAAATTAAGTTATTTTTCATGAGTTAATGTATAAAATATATTATTAAACTAACTATCAAACTCATGATAATAAATACTTATTACACCTGCTAACTTGGATCATTACTAGCGACTTAGCAATGTTTTATCATTAAATCATTCCTTCAAAACATGTATTCTAATTTTTTCCTTAAAAACTCATTCTTAAATCTTAAATCACAGCCATTATAAAAGGTAAAATCATTAACTCTACAATCCTTGAATATAAGTAGCACCATTATACCCCAAAATGAATACTCACATTTTAATGTTAGAAAGAATTGTTTAAAGTTGATGAATCATCACATGGTTCAAAATCACAAGATACAATTTGAAAAGAGTTATAGATCTTTGTGTTTTACACTCCTCGAAATGACATACTTGATCTAATTTAGCCTTGTTTATGAATTCAGCCTTCCTCTAATTCGTAGTCATCCTCCCCCTATTTGTCTTAAATAACCATCTAGTACCTAGATTCATCATCCAATCCACATTCTAACTTTTGGTCATGGGTTTGAAGATTACATCTCCTCTCTAATTGGTTTGCATGGGATTACAAGTAGAAGATAGAATATGAGAATTAATTTTCACTTCCCCTTTTTATGACATATTTTTGTCCTCTTCTTTTCTTTTTCTTTGTTCTTCTCTTTGTCTATGTCCACTATCTAAGAATCTACGTGTTATTACACTCTACTAGAGCAATTGTTCAACAAATGTACTGTTGATTATTGGGCTCAACCCATTGAGAATTTCACCTCAAAACTCTTTTCTAAATTTACAGCTCTAGAAGGTCAATAGTTTATTACAAGCTTCAACTCTTTTGAATGATTAAACATCAATTTAATCATTATTTTTTCCCCAAAAGTATTATATAGTATTTCACCATGTATTATTTTTGGATGAAGGCATTGACTTAGGACAAGTTTGGAAACTTGATGCAGAAGATGATGGTAAAGACACAATTCTTGCTATCCTCTTCCTATAAGGAAGTTGACTGGATGTAAAAAAAGTTATTGGCTTAAATTGAATTCCTTGACTCATCTTCTTGTTTTTTCACTAGCAAAGAAAAGCTCTTGAATCCACATAGAATGTTTTTTGTAAAATGCCAACAAGAATTTTGAGATGGTCAAAAGTGATGAATTAGAACACATTAACTACTGAAGAGGTGTTAATTTATAAAGAGACTTCATTGAAAAACTCTCATATTGTCTTTAGTTGCAATATATTTAAATTCTAAAGCTATTTAAATATTTAAATGACTGAAAGGTAATAATACATGAACTATAGACTTCAAATATCCTCTGAAATAAATCAATACATGCTACCACTAAATACAAAAATATATTTTTGAAGCTTATCAATTTGACTAAGTCCAATAAAGATTAGTTAACATCAAAATATAATTGATAATAAATCTCAAAATAAACTAATGAGTTAAGAATCAAAATTTATCCAAATAATCTCAAACGTATTTTGATCATCTAGTAGACACATTGATCATGATCTCCAAATAGAAAATCATAACTTCAATGTTGTAAAATATTTAAAATTATTTTCAAAGTGATATTTATTAAAATTCATAAATAGTTGACTAGTAGTTGTTTGATTCCAATTCAATAGATTAATTTGATATCCAGACTATATGAAAGTAATGATTTCTAAACATGGGTATTTGGTGTACTAAGTTAACTTTTATACAGATTTTATCTCATTAATTCTCTCTGATTATGGAGGGCTAATCATTACTTTCCCACATTCACAGTTTCTATAAATATTATGAAACAATAATTTCAAGTGGTAAAATCTACTAAATTTGGGAATTAAATATTATGAGATTCACATGCATTGTTTGGGTTACTATTTGAATATTTTTTATTAATACTCTAAATTCATTCTGAGTTTATATTCATTTACATATAAACTCATACATAAATAATAGTTATTTATAAATTAAGCACATAGATGTTAAATATAAATTAATATTTTAATTTATCTCGTAGGTGTATGTCATTATCAAAATATTATATATTTAATATTCTAACATATTTATTTCAATGAGCCAAGATAGATAATTCTAAGCCCATCTCCACACCCATTAATACATTATTAATACATGTAAATATTAATACTATTTCCAACCATGTATAATTTTATTTATATAGAAGACATGTGGAGGTTTTCAGGACCTTAATATTTTTCATTCATATATTGAATTTGTAGTTAATTGGACATGTCAGTTCATGTACGACCTACAGATAAATTATCAAATACAACATGTATTCTCTAAAGAAAGTTATCAAACATAGTTTACTTTGATGGTACTTTAGTCTTTAACTTGGTACTTTAAATAGTGCAAGTTAAGTTGGGTTTTGATAGCGTTCAATGAACCACAAACAAGTACCTTATTTTCTTAAGGTACAACTTATGTCATTAAGATGTAAGAAGTATGTCCAAGTCTTAGATCTGGCACCAAAGTATAACACAAAGATAGTTGCAGATCACATTATAAAGTTAATTTGGATGTGTTCATTTCTACATTGACTTCATATTTTATGTGTGAGTAACTGGTATCAAAACAAATCCTAGTATTCTTGGTCTCCACAAAGGACTAAGAAGCAAATATTCTTACTAAAAGACTCTCAAGTAGTCTCTTCTTGAGAGATCATCACAATATGATATATTAACTTGGTTTGATTGGGTGTTGATGCAGGACGGGACGAGAACTCTTGTACATGAAACTCAAGACCCGTGATGGGGCAGTCGGACCGATCTGATAAGAATGTATGGATCCTAGACTCTAGGTCTGACCACCTAACCTAAGTACAGGCAGGCGTACCAATATGTACTATCAACCTAGGACAACCCGGGAAACACTCGACAATGGTAAGTGTGAGACCCTCTCGGTCTACATCTGGACAGACGGCGGAACGGTTGTCGTGAAGTAGCCTAGGGCTGTAGCTCACAAACGGTGACGAGTCTGACGCAGCGTCAGAAGTCACGATCCTATAACCCGTCCTATCCTATCTACGTTCTCTAGATGGCAGTGGAAATGAGCCGAGAAAACCCTTCGAAAGATAATTAAACTTAAGTAAGAAGGGGGTACGGAGCTAACCTTCGGGGCTGCATAGCCTGGTGGGTCGTGATGGAGCAGAGACTCGACGTAAGTAGAGACGTCTGGTGAAGAGCGATGCTCAGCGTCGACGATTGGTCCTGGTCGAGAGCCGTAGTAGTCGTCGTCGTAAGGCGTGGTGTGGTCGGCGTGGGCGTGGGCCCACTGGTGGGCTGAAGGGCACGCTAGCGAGAGCGCACGGCAAGCTGCGTAGTGTGCCTTGGGCATGTGGGCAGTGGCGCCAGGTGGGTGTGCAGGCCGTAAGAGCCGGCGCAGGGGGCACGTGCAGCGGCGGCGCTTCGGCGGGAATGCCGAGCATCGGTGGTTGGGCGAAAGCCCAACCGTCGCCGGAAGGATCGGCCTTCTCTGGCAGCGTCAGGAAGTGGAGCAGAGGAAGGAGACGATCCCGGCCGACGATACCAAGGAGGGTTGAGCCCTCCTGGTCTAGGCGGCGCCGGAAACGGCGCGACGGCAGCAGATCGTCGGGAAACTCCAGCGAGGGCCTGTGCAGAGCTTGGACTAGATCTGGCTCATCAGCACGGCTGCAGGGTCTCTCTTGACGTCAGCGGCAGGTAGGCGTTCGTTGGCGAACAGCCAGCGACTAGGCGGAGTGGCGGATGGTGGCTCCGGCGAGTTTATGGTGGAGTTCCAAAGGAAGAGGGGGTAGTCGAACTAGGAGTCAATAGACTCCGGTGGAGTGCTCGGCGACGGCTTGTAAGGAGGCGAAGCAAGCCCCTTTCGTCACAACGGTGTGACAGGGTTCCAACAGAGGTGGCGGCGGTTGCAGCAGCAACCGCGACTGTTTCATCCAGTGAAGGCAGCGATCTCACAGGCGGCAATGAAGATGTCCGGTGGTGACAGTTGGTCTCAGGCGGTGGCGGGACTTCTTAGGCAGCAGCGTCACGATGAACGAAGTCCTTAAAGGGTATCGACGGCCTTCCTCTCCCTCCTTCCCTCCCTATCCTAGGTCACGATGAAGGTAACTCACAAACGATAATCTCTCACAAAATTCGGCGCTTCTTGTTGAGGGGGGGTCCTACCTCCCCTTATATAGGGCCCACAAGTGGGCTAAGTGGAGGGGGGGCCACTTGAGGCCCTCAAGCCCATAAGCCACAAAAAGGCTACAAAAGGGCTTATTGGGCCTCTAAAAGAGAGATCCAATAAGCTCCCCTAAAAGGAGAAAGAGGAGGGCCCTCATACGGTGCTTAAGTGGGCCTCAAATGAAGACCTAAATAAGCCCCAAAAGAGGCCCAAAAGGAAAGACACATAGGTCCCCCCCCTTAGAGTTTTAATTGGGCCTGAAAAGAGAGACCCAATTAAACCATAAAGAAAGGGAGACACAAACAACAACATACACATAGAATTGGGCCCGCTAACACAAACGCGAGGCCCAACAAGTGTGAAAATACAAAGAAAGATAAGGGTGAGCTCGAGCTTGTCGTCGTCGCAGAGGTGGAATGTCATCGTCCCGAAGGGCTAGGCCGTGTAGCGAAAGCCAAGCTCCTTTGTCTTCGTGCGTCGATCGGGCTGAACTCGAACTGCCGGTGTCTCCTGAGCTGATGGAGATGGGTCCCACTCACCATCAATCCTCTCGGGGTCGAAAGAACTTGACTCCGACAAGTTGGCAAGTGAGGAAGGCAAGGGCTCCAGCAGGTCTGGTCGTAGTCGCTCCAGGTCCGCCTCCAAAATCCAAGCATCGTCCTCCGACGGGCGACCCTGCCAACGTACTAGGAATCTCTGTGAAACTCTATCCCCTGTAAAGTCAATTACCTCTTGAAGAATCTCCTTGACTCGCTTGTGCCAATCAGGAGGTAAAATGGGGGAAGTGGACTCCATGGCAAACTCTCTCACAAAGAAGGGGCCGATAGATGAGGGCTCGATGTCAGATGAAAGAGGTGGGGCTTGGTGCTACGCCAGATCCGCCACGTTGAACATGGAGCTAATCCCCCACGAAGGAGGGATGTCGACGGCATAGGCATTCTGGCCTATCTAGGAAAGAACACGAAACGGGCCGGCGCTACGAGCGTGAAGCTTCGTAGCAGAGCTAGGAGCGTAACGTTTGGGCCTCATCCTCACCATAACTTGGTCTCCCACCTGGAAGATCCGGGGTCGACGATGCATATCGGCAGCCTGCTTGTACAATGCATTCTGACTCTGTATCCTATCGTGGATGTCTTGATGCAACTGACTAACATGTTGGGCGAATGCGACACCATGCTCAGAAACTCTAACATGAGGGTCCAAGGGTACTAGATCTAGGGGCTTGCGGGGTGCTAAGCCCTGTGCGATCTCGAAAGGGCTCATGCCAGTGGTACAGTTGGTCGAGGAGTTATAGGCAAACTCGGCGCATGGTATGATCAAATCTCAAGTGGTTAAGCTCTTGCCGACTAATGACTGAAGTAGATTCCCTAAGCTACAATTGACAACCTCGGTCTGGCCATCAGTCTATGGATGGTAAGTAGTAGAGAACTTGAGCTTAGTCCCAAGTAAGTTCTAAAGAGTCCTCCAGAAGTGGCTGGTAAACTGTATGTCATGGTCTAAGACTATAGACTTGGGTAGTCCATGAAGGTGCACAATCTCTCTAAAGTAGAGGCTAGCAACCTTGGAGGCGTCGGAGGTTTTCGAACATGACACGAAGTGTGCCATCTTTGAAAACCTATCGACAACCACCATGATCAAGTCGTGTCGTCGTGCAGTGCGTGGGAGTCCCAAAACGAAGTCCATGCTGACATCGTCCCATGGGCGGGTCCGCACTGGAAGTGGCATGTAGAGTCTAACATTCTTCTTTACTTGCTTGGCAAGTGCGCACACTCGACACTGAGCGACGATGTTCCCTACATCACGCTTGAGGGTCGGCCAGTAGAACTGGTACTCAACTGCTACGATGGTCTTATTGCGACTGAAATGGCCGAATAGACCTCTTGTGTGACATTTCCAAGTGAGGAAGTCACGGAGGGATGTGCATGGAACACACAATCTGCTCCTAAAGAACAAACATCTGTTGACCACAACCACAAGGAAGTCCTTATGATCTCGGGATGGACCATCCAAGAGTGCTCGTAGAACGTGGCCGAAGTCCGGGCAATCTGCATAAGAATTCGGTAGGGACTCAAATCCTATCACCTGAACCTTCACGAGGTTCAGCAAGTAGACTCGTCGACTGAGGCATTTGCCATCACGTTCTCCTTGCCCTTCTTGTGGCGAAGGATGAAGGTGAAGTCCTACAAGTACTCGACCCATTGTGCGTGTTGATTGCTCAACTTCCACTGAAAGTGCAGATACTTCAAGGCCTCATGGTTCGAGAAGAGCACAAACTCCTTATAAAGGAGGTAATGACGCCAGTGTTTGAGAGCCTAAATGTCGGCATAGAACTCACGATCGTAAGTGGAGTATCTAAGTCTCACGTCATTTAGCTTCTCACTGAAGTACACTATGGGATTGCCTTCCTAGCTAAGGACACCCCTAATACTGACACCCGAGGCGTCACAGGCGACCTCAAATACCTTGCCAAAAGTCGGGTAGGCGAAGTATCGGTGCCTAAGTGATAAGAGCCTTCACTCGATCGAAGGCCTGTTCAGCTGCCTCTGTCCAAAGGAAGGTCTCCTTCTTGAGGCAATCAGTAAGTAGAGCGGTAACAGAACTAAAGTCCCAAATGAAGCAACGGTAGAATGTCGCTAGTCCAATGAAGCTCCGGATGTTGTGCATGCTACATGGCCGTGGCCAGGTGACTATCGCGCGGACCTTTTCGGGGTCTGTGGAAACTCCTCACTTAGAGACGACAAAACCAAGGAACGTAACCTCAGAAGTGAAGAAACTACACTTCTTAGGATGGGCATAAAGCTTCTCCTATCAAAGTGCCTCAAACACCTATCATAAGTGCTGGAGTGGGAATCTCGGGTACCGCTGTAGATCAAGATGTTGTTGAAGTATACTACAATGAACTTGCCAATGAATGGGTGTAAAACCTCGTTCATTAGCCTCTAGAATGTACTGGGCGCGTTGGAGAGGCCAAATGGCATGACCCTCCACTCGTACAGGCCCTCCTTGATCTTGAAGGTGGTCTTCCACTCGTCCCCTAGACGTATCATGACCTAATGATAACCATTGCGTAGATCTATCTTTGAAAAGATAGTGGCTTCTATCATCATGTCAAATAAGTCCTATAATCGCGGGATCAGAAAACGGTATTTAACCGTTATCCTATTGATCACGCGACTGTTGCAGCACATGCGCCAAGTGCCATCCTTCTTCGGCGCTAGTAATGCAAGCACGGCATAGGGACTAAGGCTCAGTTGGATGAGTCCCTTGTCCAAAAGCTCTTGTACCTATCAGCTAAGCTCCTCATACTTGGCCAACTCCATGCGATAGTGCGGCAGGTTTGGGAGTGATGCTCCGAGAACCAAGTCGATAGCATGCTGAATGTGCCTCAATGGAGGCAGCTCTCTGGAAAGCTCCTCTATGAGTACATCGGCGTACTCCGATAATATACATTCGACTTCTGGAGAAGGCGGGGTAAGGGTCGTGTCGTCTCGCGTATCCAAAGTGAGAGCGAAGCACGTCAGGGATCCATCTATGTCCGACGTGATCTCGTGCTGAAAGGCAAGTCCCTTCATCACGATTAACCCAATATGTGACTTAGGGTCACGCTTCGGCGCAGGCTTGTTGATATGCGGATACCAAACAAGTCGGCGATCTCGATACATGAAAGAGCAAGTGTTTGATGCCATCGATTTTCATCAGAAGGACATCACACAAGATGTGCTCATCATAGGTGCTCACCCTAAGTGGCACTTGGCACTGTCAACAAATGGGTAGTGCGGTGGCGTCTATCCACAATACGTCGTAAGGGGCTGGATGATTGATAGTACTCAGCCCTGCCCTCTAGAAGACTTAGTCTGACACGGCATTGACGCAACTGCCACTGTCCACGATCACCTTGCACGCGTGTCCGTTGATCTTCACATAGGTGTAGAAGATCGACGTGCGAAAGGAATCGTCTGTCGTAGGCAAAGATGTGGGCATAGTCGTCCTCGGTGCCGAGGTGATCTCTCTAGCTGCCGTGGTGTCAGGCTGTGGTGCAGGAACCGCGTCTCGAGATGGACACTGGACAGCGATGCTGACCAATCTCCTCAATGAAGTGCTCGTCAATGAGGTAGCGAGAGAGGCAGCCTCAGTTGCTGGTGCGGTGGCTGGCCGGATCTGGATGTAGCCAATTAAATTAGGAGTGTCATCACACTCCTCGGCCAAACCCTCGTTAGCAATGTAGACATCATCGCCTACAGGGACGTCATCCTCATGTGAACCTCTACCCAATTCTTCGATCTCTATGAGGAGATTTAAAGATGGGCATTGGCTCATCCGGTGCACCTTACCCTTACACTTGCAACAAGTGATATGGGCTTGGGACGCGGCCGTAGCACGATCGGATGCGTCAGCTGGTGGCGGACGTGGGGGTGGTGCAGACCCTACTGATGTCGCCGGTGTAGTCTGTCCGTTCCCTACGCTAGTACGCATCGGTGCTGTCATCGGTGTCTGTGCAGATCGCGTGGACGCGATCTTCGTGGTGATCGGAGGTGGGGTGAACTATGTGTCTTCGGCGGGTCGCTCCATATGCTCTACTATGCGATAGGCCTCATCTACTTCAAACGGGTTGCCTTTCAGCACCTTGTTCCGAAGCTGCGAACTAAGTCCGTCGGTGAAAATGCCCAAAACCACACGTGAATCCTCGACAAAGCATTACCTCATGCGGCACTCCTCAAAAGCCTGAATATAGTCTCGGATAGGCATCTTGCCCTATCGGAGGTCTAACCAATTGAGGAACAGCATCGACTCGTATTGTCGAGGAACATACTTGTTCCTCAAGCGTGATGTCATATCAACCCATGGTGTGATGGGCTGCCCTTGTCAGTGTGCCGTGTAGCTCTTGTTTTCTCAAAAGATCTTGGCCTGTCTGCCAAGTCTCAGCTCCGCATACTCCACGCATAAATCATCATCCATGTGGTACCACCGGAAATAGGAGTTCATACTAGACTCCCAATCTATGAAGTCCTTGGACTCACAGGAGCCATCAAAGACTGCCACATTGGCTCGTACACTTTTCAGTATGCGGGCCCTGTGATCCTCACGTCGCCTATCCCGATCATCCAATCGATCGGCCCTATGGTCACCACTAAAGTCACGGTGGGGAGGACTTGAGTAACGCCCTTGATTGTAGTAACGATCTTGGTGGGCATCCTAGGGTGCTCAGTGAAAGTTCGGAGCACGCTGGTAGTTGCGGTAGGAATCATTGCGATCTCGTGGCTGACACTCTGCTTGCTGATCGAGCTCCTCTCGTCAGGAAGGGTCAGCTCTGTAACTTGGAAGGTCTCTCTTGTCGTGTCCTTGGTCGCGTCTGTGGGGTCAATAGTCCTCGTAGTGGGGTCGGGTGGCGGTGGTGGTGGACGTGGGAGATCGTCCTTACGAGCAAGGTAGACCGGCTCGTGGTGATCATAAGTATCTTGTGGCCAACGACCGCCCAATCAATCGTGGCCATCGTCGTGATGTGGTGCGTTGCAGTGACGAAGATTTCCTCGACGATGATCGTGATCGAGGTACTGGTGATCATATGGATCACTATTGGGGCTCATAGGCCGGCGGGGCTCGCGATGCTCTTGATATGCCTATGTAATAGGGGGTGCGGTCAGTGGTGCGACCGGATACGCAACCAGCAGTGGAGCCGGTGGCGGTGGGCCATGAGCTGCGGCTACAAAGGTAGCTCGCTCCAGATGTTCAATAGCCTAGGTCATGCTACACATGACATCATCTGGAAGGGAGCGCGCTCCATCCCTCGAAGGGTACCGGGGCGAAGGTTGCCATCGGCCACCTCTACCACGACCCCTAGTACTCTTCGGTGGATAGTAGGGCACGGATTCCTTCCCAGCTCGGCGGCTCATAGCCGCAGGCGGCTGGGACCGCCCTGATGCCTCTCCGGCCGACATAGCGCTCAGAGTCTCCCGGGGTCGGGAGGGGTCTGGTACCAAATCCGTCGATCTCGACGAAGATGGTGGACTCGTGTCCACTCTAGCTACTCAGAGAGTAGCGGGATCTAAGGCTTCATACGAGTGCCGTGATGATGGTTGACGTGACTTAGTCGTTGTATATTAAATCACGCAAATATAAAATTTATAAAACTAGAAAATACGAATTTTCAGATATTTAGAAGTATTTCTGAAGAAATATATCAATTATAATTCAATAAAACTTCCAAAAATAGTAGTAATTTTCCAAGTCGATCACAAGGATTTAATATAATATATGGTAATTATTCAGAATTTTTCTCAATGAATACGATTTTCTATGAATTGTATACTAGGAAATGAAAAGGAAATATATTTAAAATTCACGAAAAAGGGAAATAAGGGTGCGGACGTCAGGATGACGTCAGCGCCCGGCGAACGCGAATCGGGCAGAAATAGAGTTCCGCTCGGCAATTCTTACGTAAGCGATTATAGATGATTTAATTAATCAAATTAAGATCTATAAAAGCTGGAAGAATCGTAATAGAACAAAGTATATTTTGGTAAATTAAAATCACAAAAAATATCACTAAATGAAGTGTAAAGTAAGTTGGAAGTAGGAAAACAGAGTTCCGGCATCACGACGGCAATGCGTCGGCGATGCACCGGAATTCTGAGTGTTCGGGAGGATTGTCGTGCAGTGTCCACGGCCTCGAAGGCTCTCCTTAGACAAGGACGACGTGGGCAATCTCAAGATCTTCTCGTAAAGTCTAGAGATTAATGAAATGGGTCGTTGAGTCGTCTCCGGCGGCTGTCACCCGGCAGAGCGGAAAAACGGCGACTTTGCGGCTCTCCTGCGGCTGTCACCCGACGGAAAGGAGCTGGATGGAGGTGGGGCGCATGTCAGGGAGCTTCATCCTCAAGTCCGCGCAGCAAGAGGAGGCTCTTCATCGCATCTGGTACGCTCTCAGGAGGTGGCGACTCGTCTCCCGGCAGATCGTCCTCTTCCCGACGACGGCTTGTTCGTCGATCAATCAGAGATGATTTACTCGATGGATTCGCGATCCTTTTATTGCGAATCGTTCAGCAATTTTAGTAGCAATGCTCCGTGAATCGCATTGACGAGATTTTCGCCGATGATCTAGCGATTCTGGTTGCTTAATCCTTCACCAGCGATCTGCAGGAAACTCGCGATAATCAGATAAAAAGATATGAATTTTGACTCTAGGAGGATTCGAACCCGTGCCGGTTGTCCGCCCCTTTTGAGGAAGGTGTGACGTGGGTTTAGTCCCACATCGGTTGTGCGCCGATTTTTCAGGCGAATAAATAGTAATGTTAGCTTTTTAAGCAAAGTCCCTTCTCTCGTGTGTACGACCACTCCTTGCCCCACAGCTGGTTAGCCACCGGTGACGTGGAAGGGGAGTGGCGCACATGTGCCCCTATCGGTCCAAGCCGCTCGAGCCCCTACTCGCGGCTACTCCCCGACTGAGCTTCCGACCCGCTTGCGGGCCCGGCTAGCCGGCGGGTCCCCCCATTTTGCAATATTTTAGTTTTATTTCTTTTTCTTCATTTATCTCAAAAGTAAGACTATAAAAATCATATAAATTCGTATAAAATCACATAATTACCCAAAAAATCACATTAATCAACTGAAAACCACTTTTCACACTTTAACACAAATATAAGTCTATTTATCACAAGTTAAGGCTAAAACTATATTATTTACTAATTATTAACTCATGATAATGAAGACTTATCACGCCGTTTCTAGCGCCGCCTAGACCGAGAGGGCTCAACCCTCCTTAGTATCATCGGCTGGATCGTCTCCTTCCTTTGCTCCACTTCCCAGCGCCGCCAGAGAAAGCCGATCCTTCCAGTGACAGTTGGGTTTCCGCCTAATCGCTGATGCTCGGCATTCCCGTCGAAGTGCCGCTGACGCTCGGCATTCCTACCGAAGCGCTGCTAACGCTTGACATTCCCGCCGAGAGCCGCTGACGCTTGGCATTCCCGCCGAAGCGCCGCTGACACTCGGCCTTCCCCCCGAAGCACCGCCGCCACACACGCCCCGCGCACCCACCCGGCACCGCCACCCGCGTGCCCTGAGGTACACCACGTGGCTTGCTGCATGCGCTTGCTAGTGTGCCCTTCGGCCCACCAGCGTGCCCACGCCCGCGCCGACCATGCCACGCCTTACGACGACGACTACGGTGACTTCTCGACTAGGACTGACCGTCGACGCTGAGCGTTGCTCTTCCCTAGAGGTCTTTGCTTACGTCGAGTCTCTACTCCATCACGACCCGTCGGGCTACACAGCCTTGAAGGTTAGCTCCGTACCCCTTCCTCTTAAGTTCAATTATCTTTCGAAGGGTTTTCTCGGCTCATTTCCACCGCCATCAAGAGAACGTAGACAGGATGGGACGGGTTATCAGGTTGTGACTTCCGATGCTGCGCCAGACTTGTCACCACTCGTGAGCTGCAGCCCTAGGCTACTTCACGATGATCGTTTCGCTGTCTATCCGAATGTGGACTGAGAGGGCCTCACACTTACCATCGTCGAGTGTTTCCCCGGGTTGTCTTGAGTTGATCGTGCATATTGGTATGCTTGCTTATACTAAGGTTAGGTGGTCAGACCTAGAGTCTAG